CTGTGCTTGAGGATACCTTACATGAACTAGGAAAGTCTAGAGTTTTCTCCAAAGCTGACTTGTCATCTGGATACTGGCATGTCCAACTCGATGAGGAGTCAAGTCTTCTTACGACCTTTCAAACTTGTTTTGGTCGTTATCGATGGCTCAGGTTGCCATTTGGACTTTCTGTGTCATCAGAAATCTTCCAAAATAAGTTGATTCAAGCCCTTGATGGTCTGCCAGGTGCCGTCTGTATTGCTGACGATGTGCTAATTCATGGTCGGAATCTAGAAGAACATGACGCTCATCTTGAAGCATTTCTAGCAAGATGTCGCGAGAGCCATATCAAGCTGAGCCCATCAAAACTTGAACTGTGATGGAGTGAAATCACCTTCATGGGACATTTGATAACCAATGATGGTTTGAAGTCTGACCCCGAGAAGGTCCGAGCAATTCAAAACATGGTTCCACCAACAAATCTTGAAGAACTTCGACGTTACCTTGGTCTTGTGAACTACTTGTCCAAGTTCTTGCCAAACTTAACTGATGTGCTAGCTCCTCTGCGTAACCTTGTCAGAAAGGATGTTGCCTGGACATGGTCCAGTTCTCAACAGGAATCCTTCCAAAAGGTGAAGGACATGGTTACCAAGGCACCTGTATTGTCATATTATGATCCAGAGAAAGAGCTGACAGTTGAGAATGATGCGTGTGAACATGGCATTGGCTCAGTACTAATGCAGGAGGGAAAGCCTGTCGCTTTTGCCAGTCGCTCGCTAACTGTCACTGAGCAAAGATTTGCTCAGATAGAAAAGGAAATGCTCACCGTGACCTTTGGTCTTGAGAAATTCCACCATTACACATATGGTAAAAGTGTAACTGATCACAAGCCACTAGTGTCTATCATCAAGAAGCCCTTGTCTAGAGCTCCCGATAGCCTGCAGTCATTACTACTGAGGACCCAGCGATATGTGTTCAATCTTCAGTATTGACCTGGAACAGCTATTCCTATTGCTTTCCAGAGCGCCGTTGCCTGACAAACCTTCCTCTGAAACTGTGTATGTGAATAATGTCTATCATCTGTCAATCAAGGACAAGCTCATGAATGACATTAGAGTTGCAACTGCATCTGAGTGAGTGAGTGAGTATGGTTTTACGCCGCTTTTAGCAATATTCCAGCAATATCACGGCGGGGGACACCAGAAATGGGCTTCACACATTGTACCCATGTCGGGAATCGAACCCGGGTCTTCAGCGTGACGAGCCAACGCTTTAACCACTAGGCTACCCGACCGCCCCTCAACTGCATCTGATGAAACCCTCACCAAGTTGAAATCAACTATAATGGAAGGATGGCCAACACATAAGGAGAATCTGACCTCTGAGCTTACAAGATGGGATAATTCTTCGTGGACGTAGAGTTGTCATCCCACTTGCATTGAAAGATGAGATCAAGAGAAAACTTCATGTTGGTCACATGGGGATAAACTCTTGTCTACGCCGTGCAAAGACACTTGTGTTCTGGCCCTTGATGTCAAGTGACATAAGACAGTACTTCGAGTCCTGCGATATTTCTGCTCGATTCAGTGATAAGCAATCACCAGAACCTCTGATTTTGCATGAGATTCCTGATCATCCCTGGGAAAAGGTGGGAACTGATATTTTCACCATTGAAGGTAGGAATTACCTTGTGACTACTACAGCTATTTCTTTGAAATTGACTTTCTGCCAGAAACCACTTCTGATGTTGTGGTTACCAAGTTGAAGCACCACTTTGCTCGTCATGGTATACCTAAAGTCGTCATCAGTGACGGAGGACCTCAGTATACCAGCGAGAAGTTCAAGAACTTCAGTCAGTCTTGGGGTTTCTCTCATGGAACTTCCAGCCCTGGTAACAGTAAAGCTAATGGTGCTGCCGAAGCTGCCGTTAAAGTAGCTAAAAGGATGATGAAGAAATGTCTAGCTGCTAAAGAGGATCCTTACCTGGGATTGTTGAATGTGAGAAATACACCGACTGAAGGCGTACAAACAAGTCCACCCCAAAGACTATTTGGTCGCCGAACGCGTACTCAAGTTCCTTGTACGTTAAAGACTATTCAATATGATTCTGGTCCGGATGACAAGCAACAACTTGAAGACAAAAGGATGCTTGTAGTTGAGAGACATAACCGGAAGTGCTCAGGAAGACCTCTCAAACCCTTACAGGTTGGTGATACTGTCAGAATGCAACCCATTCAAACCGGCAGGAAGGAATGGAATGAAGCTAGTGTGACAGCTGAGATCAAACCAAGAACCTACTCTGTGAGATCTGATAATGGTCACTGTTTCAAACGGAATAGACAAAAATTTCGTCTTGCCAGAAAGTCTAGAGTTGAGGATGATGTTAATCTTGAGATTCCAACATTCCCAAACTGCCAGTCGCCAAGAAGATCTAGAGATGATGAACTTATCCAGGATAAGCAATGTGTTCAGTCTAGTGCTAACCTCTCTAATACTCAGACTGATTCTGTCATTCCAACAAGAGATGTTCCAAAGAATACCTTATCTCCAAAATCTGACATGTTTAAGACAACGTCTGGGAGAGTAGTTAAGCCAGTTAAACGGCTTGATTTGTAATTCTTGGATGTGTTCTTTAACAGTTTTCAAAAGACTGGAATAATAATGTGTTTCTGATGTTGTTTAGTTAAAACTAATAATTTTGTCATTGCAAGTTGACAGCGAACTTTAATTCAGGAATTATAGGAAAGTGCTTTAACAGAATGTTATAGTGAACTGCATACTGTATCCCAGTATATGGACCGCCTCGGTAATGACACTCATTTCTTGGATTAATGTACCTAAAGTTTTATTTACTTTAATTACTTTATTTGTTTTCCTCAAAGGAAGGGAGATGTTACGTGGTATGCAGTCTTGTGACAAGAGTTGCTTCCCTTGGCGTATGTCAGCCATGCAAGTTCTAATAAACGCTGATGCTTTAACCTGAGTTGGCTATGACTATCCAGACATGTGTACAGCATACACAGTACGTAACAGGGATCAGACGCCATTCTGCCTGCAGTGCCTGTGCCTGCACTTGTCTCTTGGCTAACGTTGCCTAATCTGACGTCCAAGGTGGTCCCACAGCTGTCCTATTGGAAACATGTCAGGAGATCTTGCCGGCCAAGGAAGAACGTTGTTGGCATTGAAAAATGCTCTCGTTATGCGGGATGTATGATGCGTGGCGATATCTTGTTGGAATAAGGTGTAACGTTGAAGAAATGGCAGAACAACTAGTGTAAACACTTCAGTGATGTAGCTCGACATTCCTCGCCCACCTCATTCTCTGACGTCGATGTTCACGCATTAACGTCATACTCTTGAACGGTCGGAAGGCTCTCAGACTATTGTCACAAAGTCGTCTGGACCAAGAGCGTGTTGTCCCGATGACGTCCCTGTGAGGTATCTGTTCCTAAGGTGAAGCAGCCGTAAATCGCGGTCTTCCTGAACGGTGGCAGCTCTGGGTCTACCGCTTCTGTCTGCTGTTCCATCTGTCTGCCTAAACCAGCAAACTGACCTCAGTATCGTCCTTCTCGAACATCCGATTACCCCAGCAACAATGGCTCTAGTTGCCCCCATAACCAACATTCCCATTGCCCATTCTCTCTGTTCAAATGTAAAGTGAAGCATGACCACTATTGGCATCTGAATGTGCAAATGGCAAAGAACATTTTCGCACCCGTTTTATACGAGATTTGCAAACGGGTATTTATCCAAGAGCTATGCCCTTTTCCGAGCAATAAGGGCATTTTCACACCCAGCACATGCATTTTCGTATGTCAGTGATAGGAATGAATAAGTTGCGTTTACGCAATAGGGTTTAATCGATATAAAAAGGTAATTTGACAGTGGTTGAAAATATATTGAAAACAATATTTGAGGTGACATACATACATACATACATACATACATACATACATACATACATACATACATACATACATACATACATAGCTGGAATATTGCTGAGTGCGGCGTTAACCAACCAACCAACCAACCAACCAACATACATACATACATACATACATACATACATACATACATACATACATACATACATACATACATACATACATACATACATACATACATACATTTCTGTTATGATTTTTCACGTTGACATTGGCTTGACGTTCATTTCAACAGGACCGCTCCTATCAAAGAAATGAACAATGAATTGGGACTCATCTGAAAACATGACTCGTGACCAGCGACCATTACCCCACATTCGACGTTGTCTACACCATTGACGACTGTTGGTAATACCTCGATTTGCGAGGGGCGGCACAACACTTGACCGTCAAGCATAGAGATGAGCTGCATGTAGACAATTTCTAATTGTCTGACCTGTTGAATTTGATTCGCGTTTTGAGCTTGATTTTGTAGAGCCTGGTTTTAGATCAATCGCACCTGTACTCTTGTTGTTGACCTGGGGCGCCCTGACTGGGATCAATATATTAGGTTTGTTGGTACCTGTTCCATATTCTGGTAATCACAGACTGTTAAACATGGTACGTTTTGGCCACTGCACGCGGACTTTCCCAGTTTCCAGTATGCCAGCAGCTCGCAGACGCCCCGCGCGTTGCAAACGCCTCATCGCCAGTTTATACACAAACAATGAATGAAATCAAGTAAATTTCACCTGTATGATAAGCAGAATCAATAAGAAATAATGTTCCACTCGACCTTTCAAAAGTGTCAAAATAAGGAGTGACCAACGCAAATGTGTGGCGCTACTGCGTGCGGCACGTGCAAAGTATAAGATGTATTTTTGTGTTTAACAGACATAAATGATGTTTGATGTTTGTCCTCAACACCTATCTTAGTCCTTATACTTGGCATTTACATTTATATTTATATTTATATCTCCTACTTTCTTCTGAAGAGCATATGCATGGGGAGAGGGCCACATAGGGAGTGTCGAATAACATTCCGCAATTCCATGGATCATTTATGTCAATAAAATTTGTTGGAAAATAACTTACCTGTCCATACAGCCTTAAAACCCTTCCCGCCATGCTTCGTAATAAACACAACACGGTAGTAGACAGCTGACTGAACAATGTATCCCCTTCTGTTTCCAAATAGAGTGACAAGGAGGCTGTTGGAGGCGTCATAAACCTGCAGTTTATAAAAGGAAGGTTAAGTCCCTCTTTGACAACATCCAAATTTGTCTACAAAGTAACTGGAGACAAATATGAATTGAAAAACACACCCATACAGATATAACTCTTATGTGTGTGAATTTTATATAAAAACATTCAATTAAAAATATGTGAAGTAATTGATATTATATCCAAAACATTTACAGTACCGGCGCTTAGTCTGCATTCAAAGAATACTTCGACATGGTTTTATTATTTTAAAAAGAGGTTTACAAATAATATACAACTACTGGCATGATGGGTATCGTAGACATATTTTCATGTGGTTGCCAATCCATTTCTGACCCTAGTCTTTATTGAAACAATATACATTTCACTGTTGGTTTCATTCATGTGAGTGCTATGAAATGAAACCAGATGCTTTTTAGCACATGCCTTAAGTACAAGTGATGAAACACTACCAACTTTGCAAAGCATAATGATATTTGATTGTGTAATCATAAGCCCTTCAACGTTCTTCGTATTTTGTCTCTCTAAAAGTATGTTCTTAAAGATTCAATAATCTGGTGTATTGACTTGTATGTTTCATTCCATATTTGTTCTAACTGCTTTAAGTCCCCGTGACGATTCCGGGTTAGAATTGGTCTTCAGCAACCTATGCTTGTCGTAAGAGGCAACTAATGGGATCGGGTTGTCAGGAACGCTGCATTGTATGATGCATGTCATCGTATCCCAATAGCGTGGATCGATACTCATGATGTCAATCACTGGATTGTCTGGTCCTGACTCGAGTATTTACAGACCGCCGTCATATAGCTGGAATATTGCTGAGAGTGGCGTTTAACAACAAACAAACGAATCTAACTGCTTTACAAAGCAAAATATGTATATTAAATATAACACTTTGTTTACGTACCTTGACAAAATCATGCTCATCATATGTACTGAAGTCTTCAAACACGAGTGTGACCAATGTGTCTCCTGCATCAATGATGTAGGTACAGTACAGGCTGTTGTTGTAATTGCCAGGGTAGTTTGTTGAGGTGAAAGAGCCAGACGAGCCTGTGTAGCGTTCTCCGCATCCTGAAGAAGATACAAAAAGGCGTGTGTGCATGGGTTGTTGGTAATGTATCTTCTTATCAATGAAATAAAGCGTGTGGATGAGGAAAAACTGTGAAATGCATTACTGATACCATCACCTCTGAAAATATTGGTATATAAAAATAAACATGTATATATTGTTCACTGAGTAACTAAAGTGTTTGATTGGCTGTGTGCCTGCCTGCCTGCCTGTGACCATTAACCTATGGTGATGTTGTACCTCTATGGTTGATGTATTATTGGCCTATATATGATAGCTACGCAATAAATCGCAAAGCATAATGAAACACGAAGCGTGGTTTACCTCACGATAAAACATAGTTCTATCATGACGTCATTTCTGGAGAACTGAATATGCGCTCACAACATAATGATGTCGTAAATTGGATCACGTTATTTTGGAGAGGGAGGTGTCCAGTAAATTGTTCCCCGTAGATGTAGCTGGGCAAATCAGATAAATGCAATGGCTGAACGATCGCAATCAAAAGAAGTAGAGATATGACAATTGGTATTAGGAGAAAAAGTACAGATGTCGACGTGAAATTTGTGAGAATAAACGGGAAATACCACACATATTCTCCCTGCAGTGTTTTATTGTATGATAAAGAGCTTCCACTCGTCGTTTATTTCTTTAATAGCCTCTGATATGAATAAAATGTACTTATATCTGTAAATTTAAATGACGGATAAACAGTTATCAATGACAATTTATCAGTTTCTGGCTCAAATAAACAACTCAACTCTGAACATTTAATTAATTAGGCTACATGTATATGTTTGTGTGTAAACCAGCAACAACCAGTTAGTGTGCAGTTGTCAATACGTTCCATGTTTCACAGTCTGTGATAAGCAGATTATGGAAAAGGTACTAACAGACCAAATGTTTGACGATCGACCCCGCTTAGGGTTTCCCGTTCAATGACAAGAGTACAGGATCGATCCTAAACTAGGCTCTACGAAATCGAGATCGAACGGCGAATCACATTTCTGCAAACTACATGAGTTCGAGTTACTGGCAAGCGATTAGAGATCGTGTACATGCTGCAGATCTCCATGCTCGAGGGCCACGTATTATGCTGCCCCTTACCAATCGTCATATTGCCAACAGTCGTCAATGGTTTATACACCGGGGTAATCGTCGCTTGTCACGTGTCATGTTTTTAGATGTGACCCGATTCACTTTGCACTTTTTTGATTGGTGTGGTCGTTTCTGACCACGACGAAATCAACAGCAAGCCAAATTCAACATGAGACATCATAACAGATTTTATGGTGCAGTGATTCACCTACTAAATTGTGCTTTGGGGACCTAACCGAACCTAGCCTCTTAGAATATTTCAGAAAATTGTAGGGACATGTCCCCAATGTGCAAATAATGATAACCAATTCTTAAAAAATTGTGAACAACAGTGATGGGTACCAGGAAAACACAACAGTAGTCTGTTGGACTATCTGGTATACAAAAATGAGGTAGTCTTGATAAAGTTTAGGTAGTCCACAATCATAAAAATTAATAGATTAAATGTTTTGAATACTTTCCATAACATGCTTCAAGCACTAGTCAACTATTTTGCTGGTTAAGTAGTGTTGATTATCTCTGGGAATTATTGTTTGTTATTTATCAAAAGATTACTAGAGGTAATTTAGTATAATGCACTGTTACAGATTTAAGCAGTTTAACATCATTGATAATTCTCAGGCTTTTAATTATCATCGTATCCAAGCATGGGTAAATAAATGTACCCACTCGATAAAGAAATCAGATTTATACATTTGTTCTGATGGCAAGTATTATCAAGGATAGGATGTGACTTATTACTATCAAAATGGATTCTGCATGTTAAAACATTTTCAATAAAACTTGGGCTTACCCTGGAAAATATTTTGGACATTTTGATAATTAATCGGCACATTGCTGATGGCCAGTAACATCTGAATCCGTTATTCTAGAGATAACTGTCTCAGGACATTTACGATTTCAGATTTCATCATCTTTGGATAGAACATTCCTCCACAGTATGAACACATTTTTTAAAAAATCTACAGGACGTATGCTTCCCCTGACCTTCACTATGAGGTCACAGTAAAGGTCAACAAACACCGCCATGACACCTTGACAATAGAACCAAATCAATGATGAATGAGTAACTTTTTACACAGACTTTAGCAATATTCCAGCAGAATACAAGCGGGGGACCCATGCCTTCGGCTTGACAAGATAACGCTCTAACCACTAGGCTACCCTAGCCCCCAACTTTGTGTCAAGGTTCTGGGGAAATTCTGCTCATAAACAAATTGGACAGTTGCTTCCCACGACCCTGTAAATCATGTCATAGTCACCATTATCAACTGTGGTCTGCAAACAACCCCAACTACCCTCAGATGTTCAACAGGGGTAGACCCCGCATGTCAATTCCAACTGGAAATTAACTTGTCCCTGAAGATTGACAAGTGACTAGGCGTATGCCTGGGTTCTGGAGATACACTGCTGAGCAACAACAAATTGGACAAATGCTTACAATGAACTTGACCAAAACGTCAAGGTCATCATTAATAACTGGGGTTTGCAAACACCACGCATTGGCAACAATTCTGATCCAAATTCAAGCAGAAGTTCTTGGGGATGGTCCCACTTGAAATTGTCAGTTGTATAAAAAATCAGATATGAACTGAGGTAATCTGCCCCTTGATCCAAATTCATGCAAATCTTTTAAAATACCATGTTTCCACGTTGTATCATATGCCTTATCTAGGTCTAAAAAGATTGATTCAGTATGTTGTTTATTGACAAAGGAATATTTGATAAAGGATTCTAAACGCACCAGATGGTCAATGGTACTTCTGGGATTTTTTCGGAAACCACACTGGATGTCACTGAAGAGGTTATTGGTCTCCAAGTACCAGACTAATCGATCGTTGACCATGCGTTCCATGGTTTTACGAACACAGCTAGTTAATGATATTGGACGGTAATTGGGTGGATCTGTATGATCCCATCCAGGCTTTAGTATTTGGAATGATAATAGCATTGTGCCACGAAGTAGGGGAATTTCCGGTTGTCCATATTTCATCAAATGTATTAAGTAGCGTTTCCAAAGATTAATTGGGCAAGTGATTCAGGAGCTGATGATGTATGTTGTCGGCTCTTGCCGCAGTGTCATGAGCTTGCCGCAGGGCAGTATGCAATTTATGAAGTGAGAAAGTTTCATTGTTGTTAAAATTTACTTGTTTCTTTTCCTGCTGTTCTCGGAACCTCTGAAATTGAGGGTTATAGTTGAAAGATGAGGAATGGTTTGCCAAAATTTTACCATGCTTTTTGTCAATTTCAGATTTACATTTACTACTAACAACTAAATGACTTTATCGAGCGTATTCAAACCATTGGCTAATTACGCCCGTAACCTAATCACCCCTTTTAACTGAATCACCCCCAGGTCAGCACAGTGCCCAGGGCACTGGATCCCGCGCAAGCATCACCCCCTCCTTTGTTACATCCTGTGGTCAACCATTCACGCACCATCCCTCTTCATGTACACACGTGTTTCGCTGTATCTAATCGCTTTTGCTTTGTACGTTTTCTTTATACACAATCGCGACCGTTTTGCCGATTACACTACGAATACCATCTATTTCAGCACCCCTCGTATCGCATTTATTCGCTCTACTCCCTAATTTCACCCTCGGGGCATTTTATACTTGTGGATTACCAAATCACCACCCCGACCTTCCGTTATGCCTCCAAAGAGAAGAGCAGCCATCAATCACAAGCTTGTGAGTGGAGCTAAGCAGGCAAGGACAACAGGTAGGCAAACCCCGGGAGTACACATTGTACAGGAGGCAATAACTGATGGCAAGTTTTCAAATTAAGGGAATATCGAAGGTGGCACGCCTATGCTTCATCCCAACAATACAATTAAATGATGCGCAGGCATCTACCTCGGGTACCCAGGTAAATGAGCAGCTGGAAAAAATACTCCAGTTGCTAGAACATTCAGCGCCCGGCCTGGTTAGTGCAAACCATCAGGTAAGGCTTGGTTTTAGTTCTCCCGCCATTTCTCTCAACATAGAGGGAATCCCCGATGCTTACAACGAGGCTGATGGTGACGCGGCTTGGCCAGCCAATCAGAACGCAAGATATGGGGATTCCCTATCCTTCTGTGCGGATGGAATAGACACACACGTCAAACAACAGGTGAGAGAGAAAATCTGGCGTGGCAAGTTTGTTGACCTAGGCACAATCCTACCAAACACCGAGGAAAGCCACGAGGATGGTACGATAACTATGGCGTATGAATCCTCAGGAAAGATAATTTTTAAACCGGTAAAGCTGCAACCAAAGCGCCTGTCCCTGGCATGCTGGACTTCTGCTTTCCACAGAAACAATAAGAACGGCGGCACGTCGATTCGGGGGGGGGGGGGGGGGGGGGGGGGGGGGGGGATGCCTGGTCAACCTACGACCAACAATTCCAACACAGAATGTCAAGGGACCCCTCACGCCACTTGGACAACATTGACGGGGAGTTGTGGCTGAAGTACATAGTCACACAGCCGGTACGTCAATCGAGTAAGGCGGACGGGGCGCAATGGCACAGGGGGACATCGCCAGTAAGGTATGCTGGGATTTTACTAAATTTGGTTGTAGCAGGCACAACTGTAAGTACACTCACAAATGTTGTAAGTGTGGCAAAATTTCCCACGTCTCTAGGATCTGCTTTCGAGGGAATGGGGTCCAACAGACCCCATACAAGCCCAACCAGCCGCCAAGAAATTCAATTCCCTTCCCCCATGGATCTCAATGAAATGTCACCCTTGTTACACCAATATGCTAAGGTCAATTACAGAGATGCAAATTACTTATGGGTAGGTTTTAGTTTTGGTTTTAAGCTCAAGTTCCAGGGAAGCCGCACAGGCCGCCTTGCACGAAACGTGCGATCAGCCACATACCACGACATGGCAGGCTATGTCAAACCAAAACTACAAAAGGAAGTTGCCCTTTCAAGTGGCCCCTTCAAGGACACCCCCCTGGACAACCTCCAAGTATCCCCAATAGGCATGTTGCCCAAGAAGCAGCCAGGCTATGGCCAGCATTTGGGTAAGCATGCCATTATCACCATTATCCTATTATCCTATCCAGGGGTAAATCTATAAACGACTTTATAGACGCAGAGGCCAGCTCCGTGGTGTATGCCTGATTTGATGAAGCTGTTCATATGGTTCAACAACTGGGAAAGGGAGCATAACTAGCAAAATTCGACATTAAGTCTGGCTTTAGAATTATACCAGTCCACCCATCGGATTTCGAGCTACTCGGCATCAGATTCGAAGGTGAGTTTTATTTTGATAAATGCATACCATTTGGCTGCTCCATATCTTGCGCCATATTCGAAACATTAAGTACCTTCTTGCAATGGTGTATGCAATCCCATCTACCATCGTGTCAGATCACGCATGACCTGGATGACTTCCTAACGGGGGAGGGGGGGGGGGGGGGGGGGGGGGGGGGTGCACAGCAGGCACCAGCCACTACTCAGACAACCTCAACGGATGCGTGAATACACTGGAACAGATTGGGGTCCCTATTGCCCACGACAAGACGGTGGGCCCCACGACCCAACTGACATTCTTAGGACTGGAAATTGACACCAATGCAATGCAGATCAGAATCCCAGAGTCCAAGATCAAGGAGGCGACAGGGGAAATCCAAGACATCAAGGTCACAAAAAGGGCCCTTCAGTCCCTCATAGGCAAGCTTAACTTTATGTGCAGGGCTATACCAATGGCAAGGGCATTCAGCCGTAGGCTAGTCGATCTGCTTAGCAAAGGTAAGCAACCATTTCACCACATTAGGATTGCCAACTGGGTCAAGGAAGACTTACAAATGTGGTTACCATTTCTCATGCGTTATAATGCCATTTCAGGCATCCGCGGACCAGAACCCCACACCTATCCAGAACCCCACACCTATGGCTGATCTGAGGCAGGAAGCCGGTAGACTCCTACAAAAATCTCTGTCTACGAACACTTACCAAACAGGCATCAATGCCTTACACCAGTTCCGGTCCGCACACCAGCTACAAGAGGTGTGGCCAGTCCCGCT